GAGAAGGGTGGATGTACACTTGCTACTCTCTATGCACTAATGAGGTCCTTAATCTTGGATTAACAAATCTCAATTACCCCACTAGGCTCTTGCTCTTCCTTACACTCTAAAGGTGTTTCTTAGCTGAACAAATGGGTAAGAGAGCTAAGTTGAACGAGTGGGGGGAGTATTTATACTCCCCACTTCAAAACATATCCGTTGGAGTCCAACTCAGCACATTTCGGGGTGACCAGACGCTCAGGTCAAAGTGACCAGACGCATCCGGTCAGTAGCCAATGGCTACATGACGCTAGCACAGTCATCAGAGACTGGACTCTGACTAGCGTCCAATCACCACTCATTTGACGCGTCCGGTCAGCAATTTCCTTCTCTAGATGCTTACTGTTGTTGACTAGACGCGGCCTCTAGTGTGTCAGGTCACAACGTCCGGTCCTTCGTGAGTGCTGCTCGCTCTACAGTTGCGCACACCTACGCGTCCGATCTTGACTAGGAGCCAGCGTTCGGTCGATGAGCAAGCCCTAGCTGCACGAGCTAAAGCTGACCGAACATGGCACCTGTGCATCTGGTCCAACGTCTAGTCATCATCCAAGTTTGCATTCACCTCAAATTCTACCAACTTTATGAACAACATCGACTTCAACTGATCTATGGGCTGTCCTTGAGCTATCTAGTGCTAAGTTTGACAAGTATGCACCACACCTAAACCATTAGACTCACCTAGGTCAAGCTCCTAGTTCATACCTCCTTAATAGTACAACCAAAGGAAAAACAAAGTCCTAAACTACTCTGAGTGTCTCTCCAACGTCAAACGACACTTAGAACAAGTCCGTCCTTAACCTTGTCGTCCATCCTTTAAAAATCGAAACGATTTCCATCGACAGGGGCATGAAAACCATAATTGGCCAATCAATCACCATTACCATGACCAAACTCAAGTTGTCTCTGCAAAAAACACATTAGTCACAGTAATCTTGTGTCGTCATTAATCACCGAAACCAAACTAGGGGCCAAGATGCTTTTACATCGCCTGGCCGAGGACGGTCTCGGCCGGCCAACACGTAGCAACGCACGTGCACACGCTGCGGCCAACATGGTGACGTCGTGCTCCCGAGCGTGGTGACCACGCACACCCGCCCAGACAACCTGAGGCCATGTTTGGGCACGAATTTTAAAGCGCATATAGAAACTAATCTAACAAAGTTGAGGCTCAACCACTTAAACCATGCTAAAGAGGGTACATCAGATTACTATACATAACAAAAACATAGCACTGACTTTTACCTAAAATTTCTAAAATTAATTCACCAACATGGCATTGTCACACTGTTTTCAAACTTAAAATTTTTTCTAAGTCTTGAGCTGGATTTGATTTCAAGTTCTATTTCTAAGCTATTAGAAATACTAGCTAGCAATATTATTTTTCGAAGGCAAAAGTTGCATTGTCACCTACAAAGTTTGTACTTCAAATTTTATTTAAGTGTTACACACATGTTCTATAATATTTTTGCTCAATAAAAATTGGTTTTCAACCCTATTTGACATAATATGAGCTATTGAATCAATTTTTATTTAACATTTTTATTATTTATTTTAGGTTACAGGAAATTTATCTACACACTCTATCACATATATTATCACATAAACATGATACTCATGACATGACTTAGTAGTTTGTTTAGGGCGTAATATCGAGGGTGTTACAGCCCCTCCCCCCTTAAAGAAAATCTCGTCGCGAGATTTCGTGTGTGTGCCTAGTGTGGGAAGGGATAAGAAATAAATTTTTATTTCAATTTAAATAATTACCTTGATGAACTAGAAAGGAGGTGAGAATAATGCTTCAGGATATAGCTCTCTTGTTCTCAAGTAGCTTCGTTCTCCGTATGATTTTGCCACTGGACTTTATAAAATCTCACCACTTTGTTTCTAGCCACTCTTTCTTTTTTATCTAAGATTTGGACAGGATGCTCAACCTAAGAAAGATCTGATTGGAGAGGAAGTCCGTCAATTTCCACCACCTCATCAGGAACTCACAAACACTTTTTCAGCTGGGAGACATGGAAAACATTATGGACTACCGACAAGATAGCCGGGAGTTGGATACGATAAGCAACAAAACCACACTGTTCCAAAACTTTATAAGGTCCGACATAACGAGGAGCTAATTTTCTATGAACTCCAAAATGATGCACACCTCTCATCGGAGATATCTTGAGGTACACATGGTCGTCAACTTCAAACTGCAAAGGCCTTCTTCTCTTGTCTGCATAAGTTTTCTGACGGTTCTGAACTTATTTCAAATGACTCTGAATAACACTGACTTACTCCCTGGCTTCTTTGATAAAATTAGGTCTGAAATAACCACGGTCTCCCATTTCAACCCAGTTAAGTGGTGTTCTACATTTCTTGCCATATAGAGCCTCGAAAGGTGCCATTCGAAGGCTTTCTTGATAACTATTGTTATAAGAAAACTCAGCAAAAGACAAGCGCTCGTCCTACTTTTTTTGGAAAAGAAATGACATAAGCTCTCAACATATCCTCAAGTACTTGGTTGACACTTTCTGTCTGACCATCAGTTTACGGATGATAAGCTGAACTTCTGAAAAGGCGAGTACCAAGACACTTCTGGAGTTGCTCCCAGAAGCGAGAGACAAAAACTGACCCTCTATCCGAAACAATGGTAAGAGGAAACCCATGTAAGATTACAACCCGATCAAAATAGAACTAGGGCCGCTATAGGCCTAACCAGCTAACGTGCGAGCATCAGGAGCTTACCGTGGACTCGATCGAAGTGACCGTTGGGGTAGAGGATGATAGAGGAGGGCTTGGCCGGGCTCAACTCAAGGCGTGATGGGGTCAGGCTGCTAGGTGGCTTAATGGCGAGGTCATGGACGCGTTGAATCGGATTGAGGTGATCTCTCTCTGGCTGATTTCATGGGTGCGACTCACATGACAGAGGCGGCAGGGAGAAGGGGTAGGTCCGAGCTCTGGCCGTCCTCGCCTTGTCGGCAAGTGACCGACGGGATCCGAGACATCACCTGTGCGCTCGCTACGAGACAACACAGCCAGATAACGTGCGCGCGCAGGCAGTTGGGGAAGCACGACATGTGTGGCCGCAACGCTATTAAGGTGAAGCAACGACGCGAAGCAACAGGGGCTATCCCACGTGTGCACGGCGATGAGGTGCTCATATCAGCACAGCACGGTGCCACAGCGGTAGCAGCATTGCACGGCAGCGGCCAAAGGCGGCAATGGTTGTGCCCCAGCAGCTCGGCAAGGCGGCAACGACGGTGGCAGCAGTGCGGCGTCCCGCAGCGGCCAGGCCACAGCCAGACCTCGCCTAGGCCGAGGATGGCCTCGGTCGGCCAACGTGGCAACGTTGCGGTCCCGAGCGTGGTGACCGTGCACACCCAGCTAGACAACCCGAGAGCGTGTTTGGGTTAAGGCTCAACCACCTAAACCATACTAAAGAGGGTACATCAGATTACTATACAGAACAAAAACATAGCACTGATCTTTAACTAAATTTTCTAAAATTAATTCACCAAAGTAGCATTGTCATACTGTTTTTAAACTTAAAAATTTTTCTAAGTCTTGAGCTAGATTTGATTTCAAGTTCCATTTCTAAGGTATTAGAAATACTAGTTGGCAATATTATTTTCTGAAGACAAAAGTTACATTGTCAGCTACAAAGTTTGTACTTCAAACTTTATTTAGGTGTCACACATATGTTCTATAATATTTTTGCTTAATAAAAATTGGTTTTCAACCATACTTGACATAACATTAGCTATTGAATCAATTTTCATTTAACATTTTTATTATTCATTTTAAGTTACAAGAAATTTATCTACACACTATCACATGCATTATCATATAAACATGATGCTCATGACATGACTTAGTAGTTTGTTTAGGGCGTAACACCGAGGGTGTTACAGCCAACCACCGACGCCATTACAAACATGTGCAACACCGAGATCTACTTTTGAAACATCTAGATGAAACATTTATAATATACGTCTGAAGACAGATGAAACACTCGAAACATGCGTCTGAAACACTTGTAAAAACACTTGAAAGCCATTGTAAAACATATGCAACATCCAGATAAAACACTTGCAACATATGTGCGAAACATATGCAACATTTATATAAACACACTTACAACATATGTCTAAACAAATAGATAAAACATTTGAAACAGACACTTACAATATACGTGTATAGCCATTGTAATATATGCAACATCCCGATCTACTTATGCAACATTGATATGAAATATTTACAATATACCTCTAAAATATCTAAAATACTTAAAACATATGTTTTGCAATATAGAGGAGGCCGGGGCGTAGATTGCAGCTGTCGGGGTGGGAGCTGGCGAGCGGTGGCGCGCGAGCCCCACGAGCACCGGCCTCGGCTCAGCCGGGCGGGCGGTGCACGTGACGCGTCTTGCGTGGGTGGCGCACACCAGAGGGAGCAGGGCGCGGGGCCGGAGTAGGTGCGAGCGGCGCGGGCGAGACACGCGACGGGCAAGAGCGAGCCAGCGAGCGGTGCGTGGTAGGGGAAGGCGGCAGCAACGACCGCGGAGTGGACGCGCGCTGCGTCAGGATGGACGAACGCGTGCGTGGAACAATTATCGTATTTTTTAAGTTATAGCGCGGAGTGGACGCGCGCTGCGTCCGGATGGACGAACGCTTGCGTGGAACAATTATCGTATTTTTTAAGTTATACAATTGCTCTGCAAAGGAGGTAAGATAGTGTATCACCTATCTATATTCAGAAATCACGAAAAACCCTGCCCTAAATTCGAACGGTGGCATCCCAAAACCGCAGCAGGAAGACGGCGCAAAATCTTCACAAAAACCCACACGGCGGAAGGGCAAAAGAGAGCGAGAAAGTGATAAGGTTCGTGGGCGCGTCGCCACCCTCTCGTCTCCCGCCCCGTTCCCGTTCCGCGCCGTCGCGCCTCCTCCTCCTCCTCCCACATCCACCTCGAGATGCTCGCGTTCCCCGCCGCGCTCCACCTCCTCCTCCCGGCGCCGCCGCACCACCACCATGTCGCCTTCGCGCTCCCGCACCCCGCGCCGCCGCTCCACGCCTCGCTCCCGTGCTCGCGCCGCGCGCGGAGGAGGGCGCCCAGTCCAAGGCATGGGGTCGCCAGGGCCTCCGCCGCAGTTGCGGAGGAGGCCAGCAGCTCCGGGCCGGCCAAGTTCTCCGTAAGGATCCCCGTCGGCGACCGCGAGGTGAGCCGCCGATGAGCTATCGCTTTTTTTTTTCTCCCTTTCTCAGCTGTGAATCGTGGCGCGGCGCTCGGTTCATGCGTCGCGAATTTTGCCGCTCCGTAGCGTGGCTGCGTGAGGCGCCTCCGCGCGGGTTGCGTCGTAGCGTGTTCCTGCACAGTGCATTGTGGCGCATGCTTCGTGCTTGTGTGTGTGTTGCTAGTTACTGGATTCTCACGTGCAATTCCGAGTGTTGTTTCAATGGTGAAGAGCTCCCACTGCGCTTGGCTGTTTTGCTCACGGCATTTGCCTAAGCACATTGAAGTTATTATACTCTTCATCTGTTCGGTTTTGGTTGATTGATGTCACAGCGCCTGCATTCACAAAATGAAGCGCGTTCATAAAATGGGGGTAATGGAATGTTTTTGCATTTCAGATATTGGTGGAAACGGGTCACATTGGGAGGCAAGCCAGTGCTTCTGTAATGGTCACCGATGGCGAAACGGTAAGTTGTTAGAATCCAGTGTGCACTTAATACCTATTGTTAAGAAATTGTACATGCACGGATGATGTTCCATTTAATCTGCCAGTAGGGGTTATAAAATTCTCAGACTTTCTCCTTAGAGCACATTGGGAGAACGTGCACACGTGATGGCCCATTTGCACATTTCAGATGTTATTTGTTTTGTTTTGAGGGAATATTTACAGTTTTTATTTCGAAATTCAAACAGGGCTGGTAGACTTTTAGTTATACTGTATGTGCATTTCATTCTGTCAAAACCTCAGAATCTGCATGCTTGTTATTTTCGCACAATTTAGGCTGCAGTGATTTGCCACTGTTCTGATTTATATGCTCTTCATGTGCATGTCAATCAAATTTGATAGGACTTGACCATGATTCTTCTTCTGTTCTTCCTGTTGGATACTGTAACATGAATGGCTTTCTAGAGGACAGCGTATTGCCTATTGCAAGCACAATTTTGGCCTTTTACCAAATTCAATTCAAGGCTGCTGTTCGGATTTTGTTTCTGTCATCACTGTTGTCCAGTTTAATTGATGAGGATAAAAGCATCTTGAATGCAATTAATTTCGTTATTTCAATTTCAGGACCTTTTTGTGTCTAACTGTAACTTCAAAATGTGCTGGCAGATTCTCTACTGTTCTGTCTGTCTGGCGGATACTCCAAACGACCCTGCTGACTTTTTCCCTTTATCGGTTCACTATCAAGAGCGCCTTTCAGCTGCTGGAAGAACTAGGTACTGAAACCTAAAAAACTGTTGTCGCCACCTTTGTCATTGTCCATGACTCCATTCTCAATTTGATTGTGTAATTTATGAAACCTTATTCTATATTTTTACTGATTCCAGTGGTGGTTTCTTCAAACGAGAAGGCAAGACAAAAGACCATGAGGTTCACTATAGGAACTTCTACTTTTGTTCAACTATTATGTTTGTTGGGTGCTTAGATTTTCTTTCCTACGTCCTTTTCAGGTTTTGGTTTGCAGATTGATAGACAGGCCCCTACGACCTACTATGCCTAAGGGTTTCTACTATGAAACTCAAATTCTATCCTGGGTAATCTTTAGAAGTTAACTCGCATTCATGTTGCCTCTGGGAGTTTGGTCATATGTTCTAGCTTTTTCTTGCAACGTGTGTTAAAGTTATATGAGTAGCTCATCATCATTTACATATTTTCCCCCATTTTATTGTAACCCGTCCTAGTATTCTCTGAATAGCAGAGACTTACTTTAGTAATCTCATAATACTAGGGTGATATTGATGCAATTTATGTATAGCATCATGTGACTTGGATTCTGGATTCATAACTTGGCAATCCCATTCATAGTTCAACCTCTAAAGCTGAGATACTTGCTATTTGACATTTGTTAGGAAAAGCAGAAAATTCAACCATAACATCAACTCAAACTGCAAGGCTAGTGTTCTTATTTTGAAACTGACATGATGTATATTGTATAATTCTTACTGCAATCTTCATAGATGGCTGCAAGATGCCCTATACAGAGCCTTTTCATAGGAAGCTATTGCCAGCAAAATTGTTTCGTTCCCTCATCTAGGCCTGTGCACGGATTATGAAACCCACCCAACCCACCCGTTCTAGACCCACCCAAACCGTGGAAAGGAATTATACATGGATTGGGTGGATATGGGTTTGATCCATGAGACCCATGGGTTGTTTCTCTATTCTCTCAAGACCATAGGATCCCGCATCCATATACTGGGCACCTACGCAGAATCCGAAGAAGCCGTGACTGTGGGATCCGTGGCCCAAGGCCATGCTCAACTTCTCGTAGACGCAGGCCATGGGTAGTGGCGGTGCGCACACGTCGACGGCTGATGGCTCCCGTTCATCTCCAGCAGGAACGGCTGTGGCGGACGGAGGCGGTGTTGCTGCCTGATGGTGCTGCAAGACGTCGGCGTTTAAGCTTCATGGCAACGATGGTTGTCTATTGAGCAGTACTGCCCATGCTAGCTGGTACAAGGCGCGTGCCACAAAGACAAAGCGCAGGAGCGAGTCCCCTGGGAAGAGCATGGCTCTATAGGTGAAAATCGGCTAATAAGCAGTTGACCCATTAATCCATTTAATCCACCCAATCCATACCCATCTATCAACTTCTTTCATGGGTGGGTTGAAAAATCTGTGAGAACCGTGTATACGCACCCATGCACAGGGCTACCCTCATCAAGAGATTTATGTTCTGCACCTGTTAATAATTCACTTTGGCAACAAACAAAAGAAATATGAATGCCCACCTAGCAAAAAATGCCATGGTTGGCCACTTTTTCTCTCGACATCTTTGTGGCTGATGGGCCAGATTTGAAGATCATATTTTGTTATTCTACCTTCTTCTTTGGTTTTTGTTTCTTGATGACCTCCATCAATTACTCCATATGATGATATAACCTTGACTATTATAGGTCTTCAGTTATGATGGCATTCACTCCCCGGACTGCTTGGCTATCACAGCTGCTGGTATAGCCGTGTAGGTTTAATAAAAAATATTTCAATATAATGTTTTTTTTTGCGAGATTACATTCTTTATCTCAAAGATACTCTTATTTATCTCAAAATTTTCACTACAGGGCCCTCTCTGAAATTCCAAATAAACAAACAATTGCTGGAGTAAGAATTGGCCTGATTAACGACCAGTTTGTTGTTAACCCAACTACTGAACAGATGGAGAATTCAGAGTTAGATTTGATGATGGCTGGGACTGATAGTGCCATTTTGATGATTGAGGTTAGTGCTGAAGCTTTGCTTGCATACATGCTTGAATGCTTCACCATATTCCCAGCATTTTTTTACTTAAATCCTCAATTTTTTTTAGTGGTATGTTTTAAGTTTGCTGTACATTGTTACTCTGCCTTTTATTTTATTGTAAAACAGTTATGCTTTAGGCTCATGTGCTAAACCAAGTTGCCAGTCCTTAAGTTAACTCACTTATCTTGATTACTTTCATAGGACTCATAAATCTTATAGTTGAGGTTATCTTTTGATTCCTGACTAGTCTTTGGTAGGGCTACTGTGATTTTCTGACTGAGGAGAAGCTGCTTGAAGCTGTGGAAGCTGGGCAGGTGAGCTTATCAGATTATCAATAAGATACGCTTTTAGATAGAATATATTGCTCCATAATGTAAACATGAATGAAGTGCTTAAATATGGCAAGATGATAACACTATCACTGTAGGCAACAATCAATTACTCAAGTCTTTGCGCAAATAATAGATTTATTTGTTTCCCCATTTTGTTTATCATTGCTTTGAGCTTTCTAGTTTCTCTTAACCATGGAGCTTTGAGTTCTTTATAATTTGTAACTTTCTGAGCTGTTATATTACCTCTCTTACTACTCACTACTCAGTACAAGTAAGCCAAAAATGTATATGTTTTTTCCCCATTTTCATTTCTGGAACCTGTAAGATCCAGAGCTTCTGTCATTTATAGACCTCCCTTTAGAAGACATATTATCTGCTTCCGTTCTTACATAAATGCTAGCTGTGTACACCTGAACTTCTGTCCTGGTCTACCACTTTTTTGTGATTCTGACGTAATGTAGAAATCAGGTGGCAATTAGAGAAATCTGCAAAGCAATTGATGTTCTCGTCCAGAGCTGTGGGAAGAAGAAAATGGTCGATGCTATCAGCCTACCGCCTCCTGAACTCTACAGGCATGTTGAAGTATGAACATACTACAGCTCCCTATTTTACCAAAATACAATCTTTTAACTTAAGTTGCAAGTACAAGTATCTAATATGCTTGTTTGAAGGCTAAACAATACCTGAACTGGCTGACTAGAATGCTGTTTCCTGTCCTCCCATTTTCCTTAGTTCTTATATGCTTATCGTTTTCATTTGCTTAATATGCTTGTTCAGTAGCCACTTGGGGTAGTCACACAGTCTTGTCAATCATATATTGAATCCTGCTGGTCATTTCCTTATTTAATCATCGATTGTAACCTCTTCACTTTTGTAACTTTTAAATTGAAGATATATGCTGGTAGTTAGACTATCTCTAACAACAACACCCAAAATACAAGACCCATTCAACGTTTGGGTAGCGCTACAGTCAAAGGGTTCAATACCCATTCGACATCCTTTCCAACAATAGGACCCAAAAGAGAATCATTTCTGCAAATGGGTTTCCAGGAGAGAGGATACTCATATTTAGGTTGTGCCTCAGACAACCCAAAATGGGTCTTCTGTATAGGTACTCTGTTGGAGGCTGATTTTGGGTCTCCTGCTACCCATTTTGGGTTTGGGTCACCTATTTATCCTTTTCCCTTTCGAGCATGCATTTGCCTGTTGCCATCCGGTTGCTGATTTCAGCTGTTAATGTTGTTCAGGATATTTCTGGAGATGAGTTGCTGAAGGCATTACAAATAAAAGGAAAGATTCCCAGAAGAAAAGCTCTTTCAGCATTGGAGGACAAAGTTATAAGTATACTTTCTGAACAGGGTTATGTTTCCAAAGATGGCTCATCTGGAGTCACTGAAAGTTTGGCTGATATTGTTGAGGATGAGGATGAGGATGAAATTATAGTTGATGGAGAAGTAGATGAAGGTGATGTTCACATCAAGCCGGTTTCAAGGAAGCCCCCTCCTCAGGTGATGGTTATTGTATTGTAGTTGATGACGATGTGGTGATTTTGTGTGCTTTTATAAAACATCAGATATAGTATCTTATAGGCTTTATAGCTAGGCCTGTGCTTTTGTCTTGTAAAGTTTCTTTTCCTTCACTTTTCTAAGATTTCTTGACAAGTAGACCTCGTCCCCCACCCCATTTTTCTGCTTTGCTTGACAGTTTTAATCTACCACCTTGCTTATTAAACAGATAACATTTTATACTGATTTCCAAGTATTTTTCTTCTATATAGCTATTTGCAGAAGTTGATGTCAAGCTAGTCTTCAAGGAAGTTTCTCGAAATATTTACTGCTAGGCGCATTGTTGAGGTATTGATTGCACTTGTCACCTAAAGGTTTTTTTCCTTGCTTATGTGATCAATAGCAGGATGCTTCCTTCTTTCTATTGTTTCAACTTGCTAGTTTTTTTTTTTCTGCTAAAAAACTGGTTAGAGATCTAGCTTTCATGCCCATGCTTGACTTCTGAATTTCCCTGTTGTGGTCATTGCAGTCTTGAATTCTTGATAATATCTATCTTGAGTCATCATCGATTTTCAGTGTCTGCATTTATTCAGCATACATATTTGGTTACATCTGTGTAAAAACAATCAAAGATCATATGTACTTTCTAGTTCTTACTACAAAGGATCTGACTTTCTTCCTATATGCGCATTGTGTTTTCAAAGGTCCCTTTGAACTCTTTCTGTAGAATGTAACATTGTAGCCCAGTAACAGGAAGCCAGTGTGACAGGTATTAACTCCCACTGGTCATCCAAAAGAAGAGTGAAAACAAATATGTAGTTGCCATATTTAGGAGAAAATTCTGCTACGTCGAAACATGTTATTAATGAAACTAATAGGGATAGTTCAGAAAGGGGTCCTCTCACAATCTAGCATTGTGTTTGTGTGCCAATGCCTGCCATACATGGCTTTGTTCATCAATTGTGACTCTGATTATTGAATTTCCTATTGAGCCACATCGTTCTGTTTGGTAATCACAGTTCCTTGGGACTTTCATGTGGTTTAATATGGAAACTTTTGTATGGAATATCAACGCCTCAAATTTCAGGGAGGAAAGCGAAGTGATGGACGGAGTCCTTGGGAACTTCGGCCCATTAATTCTCAATGTGGTTTACTTCCAAGAGCTCATGGTAGTGCTCTGTTCACGAGGGGAGAAACACAGGTGAGGTAATACACCTCATTTGAGAGTCTGTTGTATCTGCCGTTTCTGATTGGCATAGTATGACATGTCTCGTAGTTTTATTTGTCATATGCTGCTGTTAGTGTCTTGCTGATCTGTTCAGTACCTGATGATGTTTACAGAAATCTATGTGCACATTCTGTTTATATCCATCCCACCTTTATTTGTAAGAATCCTGCTTTATTACTTCAAACATTAACTCTTACAAAACTTAATTTGATGTATTTTGTTGTGGAGTTCATTTTTAAATAATACATAGCACAACCATTACCTGTATTTTTTAAACATTATACTTTCTGCTGGTTTATTTACAGTCTGTTTCAGCTAGAGTCAAATGCATATTAGGTTTGTTATCTTATTATTTTTTTTCACTTATTTCTTTTGTTCGCCATGCAGTCACTGGCTGTGGTCACTTTAGGTGGCTATCAGATGGCACAACGAATTGACAACCTTGTTGATACAGAGGATTCAAAAGCTTCTATCTTCAGGTAAGTGAAACACCTTTGCTGATTGAATGATACATCACCCTGGTAGGTCAATTCACAGTTTCCTACTTACTATGTATCTTGTGCATCATGCTTATTTAGATTGTTTTATTCATTGGGAAATCTTATCCTTTTTTTAGGTGTGTGTGTGGATCTTCAGATCCATATTTCTGAACAAACTATGTGAAAATACAATGGTAGTACGATTGCCCCTTCCAAGATCTGTTATGTAAAGGGCGACATGTATGAACAGTTGACAGGATTATATCCTGCTTTATTGCTGTGATGATTTTCACTGATGGCATTGAATCTGAGCTAATTTATTGTAGATTGCAAGTGAAAATGAGTTGTCAAGACGCCATCTTATATTTAAATGTCTTGTGTGTGTGTGTGTGTGTCTGTGTGGATGTTATGTTTTGTATTTTAGTTGTGTCATTGAGATTTTATTGTTGATCAGGGTGTACATGAGTATCTATCCAACCTCTGTTCTGTCCTCTGAGGATCACTTTGTGATGTTCTTTTTTGAAGGCTGTATGCTTACTATTTTCATTGCTAACCTGTGAACGGTCCAAAATGGTTTTCCGTTCTAGCTTGGAATTTTGTTATCAACACAGTTAGACTGCAAGATTACCCTGCATTGTTAACTAATTTCTGTGACATTCTGCAGTACTCATTTCCTCCATCATGTGTTGGCGAAGTTGGTCGAATTGGAGCACCTAGCGGAGAGAGATTGGACATGGGATGCTTGCAGAAAGGGCACTGGAGCCAATTTTACCTCCGGAAAAGGATTTTCCATACACTATTCGTGTCGAGAGTACTATCACAGAAAGTAATGGTTCGTCCAGGTAATACTATTCTTGTGCTTAACATTTGTTTTTTTTTTGCTAGCTTGTATAAGTTTGTTTGTCTTTCCTGCAATGGTTCTTTCAATTTGCTGAACTATTTGTGAGTTGACACAACCTTTTATTTTACGCTTATTGCCTCATGGAGTTCAGTTTAGACATTTGCTAGTTGGTCAGGTGCAAAATTAACATTCCTGCGTTTGGTGACCCAAATAAACGTCCTTAGTCCAGCGGTACCTGAACTTATACTCAGTATTTCTGATACAGTTAGCAATTGACCATTTCTCTGGGTTCAGACAGACTACAGTAGAGAATTAAGCGTTTGATTACTTAATTGCTAATACTTTTCTGTGATTTGTCACCAGCATGGCTTCTGTTTGTGGAGGTTGTTTAGCACTTCAAGATGCTGGGGTTCCTATAAAGTTTCCTGTTGCTGGAATTGCAATGGGCCTGGTCCTTGATACACAGGAATTTGGTGGAGATGGTAGCCCACTTATACTTTCTGATATTACTGGAGCTGAAGATGCCTCTGGTGACATGGATTTGAAGGTGTGACTTGTATTTTATTCTGCATTTGGAACTTGGAACTGCATTAGCAAGGTTAGTATATGTTGTTCTGCTGAAAGCTCAGTTTTCTTATCTGTAAGCTTTTTTGTTGCAGATTGCTGGTAATGAAAGTGGCATATCTGCATTTCAGATGGACATTAAGGTTGTTATGACTATATAGATTTGAAGTATTTGTCATGTATTTTTGCTATTAGGAGGTTTTTGGTACAATGGTTAAATCTGTCTGGTTCTTGCATTGTGGCAGGTAGTCGGGATAACTCTACCTGTGATGGAGCAAGCGCCCTTCAAGCTAGGGACGGAGACAGCATATTCTGAGTAAGCCTGTGCTAACTTAGCTATTTCCATTTACATGCCAATTTCCTTACCCCAGCTATCTACAAACTTATGATATATATCCTTCCATTCCAAATTATAAGATGTTTTGGCTTTTCTAAATACATTGCTCTTACTATGTATCTAGACATTGGTATATCTAAGTGCATAGCAAAAACTACATATCTAGAAAAAACCAAAACGTCTTATAATTTGGAATGGAGGGAGTATACCACAATCAAGCTTTAAGTTAAAATAAAAAGGAAGGAATATAAAAACATAGCAACTGCTTGAATTCTGTTTTGTGCTCATTTTCAAACCCTTTCAGCATTGTATGGAAAAAAAAACTTTGACCTAATACTTGTTTGCCATGAGTAATGCAGCATCCAGTGTTTGGCATTAGTATAGAAAATGCACAAAAAGGATGTCGACTTATGCATAGCTGCTTTCTTTTGTGCTGGTAAATCATGTTTGTTCTTGCACTGATTCTTGTGACATCATTTGCGAAGGTCCCTAAATATGTGGGTCCTAATGTCACCTCTGAAAGATTATCACAGGATGGTTGGAACGTTCCTTAATATTAAAGTTCTCCTTGGATGGTTAACACTAATAATTTTCTCCTGTCTATTCTACAGAATGCTCTTATGCTGAAATTGTCATTTTCTGCTTGTTTTTATTTCATTTCCCCCCATCTGATCTGATGTTACATTTTGCTTCTCCTCAGATGAAATGTCGAAATCTTCACCTCCACCATCAAAAGCACTATCTCCATATGCTCCCTTAATTCATGTTATGAAGGTTGGTACTTTGTTCATGATGTGTATATGCTATATATGTTTTCTTGCAACTATATCTTTCTAACATGTTTTATTACAATGTTCTTCAAGGTCAAACCTAACAAGGTGAATTTAATAATTGGTTCTGGTGGAAAGACAATAAAAAGTATAATTGAGGAGACTGGAGTAGATGCTATTGATACTGGAGACGATGGCACGGTACGGAGAACTTGGTGATACTTGCCATTTAGCCTTACGAAAGTACTATTGACAAATGCCTTTTGCAGGTAAAAATTACTGCAAGAGACCTATCAAGCTTAGAGAAGTCAAAAACTATAATAGCTAACCTTACCATGGTTCCAAAAGTCGGAGAAATATACAGGTATCAACTTTTATCCCCTTGGATGTTTTGTATTCTTCTCAAAGTATATTATCTCTTCTTTCTTGTTTAATTAATTACCCTGCTTGCTTTCTTGTAACCAATCTTTTGGGTTTCTAATCAATACCCTTTTCCTGGGAACTCATTTACCAGGAATTGTGAGATCAAGTCAATAGCTCCATATGGTGCTTTTGTTGAAATTGCTCCAGGGCGTGAGGTTAGCAGATATTATAATTTACTTTAGTAGTTTCACATATTCATCACCTGTATATAATTCAGAGAAGAGAAGCACTTCTTAGTGGCAAAATCACATGGCCTTGTGTTGTGGACTCTGCGTTTGTGGGCCGCCAGTATAGGCGTCGCCCCAAACAAGGCCTCAGCCCAGGCCGTGGCTAATTGGCTGCTGGCTGTTTAGACAAGGCAGGGAGGAGTTTTAGTAGATTGGTTTCTATTAGTAGATTGGTTTAATTATGGAAGTGCACCTGACTATAAAGGGCACCTTAGGAGATTGTAATAGGCATCGAAGAAGGAATAAACTCTCCCAGTATCGGGGTGGGAGTTTCCCTTGACGGTGGCGCCGAGCACTTCACCATGACCACCGGAGAAGATCCCACCGCCGAGGTTCCCCGCTATCCTCTGCGCTCCAATTCTCAATCCAGCCTCCTCCACTCTCCCTCCGCTCACCATACCACGGCGCCAGATCAATTTGGTATCGGAGACCACCACAAGTGCATCGATAGCCATGTCCCAGCACTCCTTCGATTCTGCGGCCCTGGAGGAAAAGCTGGATCGCATCTTCGGCCAACTCACCACCATCACCAACCGCCTCAACTTTCACGATTCCAGTCTCGCACACGTGGAGACGGGCAAGCCCGATTCCGGCAAGGGCGGGGAGGACACGCACGGCGGTGAGGATGTCCATCGCGACGACAGGGGCGTCCACCGTGAGGACCGCGAAGACTACGACGGGCACGACACCGAGCGGGATCGCGCCTGGGTCGAGTTCCGCGACCGGGCTGTACGCGATCCCGAGCGCTATCTGGGTTCGCACGGTCGCTCTGATCGTCGTGACCACGGGCGCTACGACCGCGACTACGAGGCCCGCCGCGACCGTGACTTCGACGCCCGCCACGACCGCGACTATGACACCCGCTACGGTCGCGACTACGAAGGCCGCGGGTGTCGCGACTCTGACCGCGGCCGCGACTACGGGCGTGGTGGCCGCGATTCCAACTTCGGAGGCCGTGCCTTCGATCGTGGCTGCTGCTTCCGCGGTGAACCCGACGGCCGACGAGAGCCCCACCGGCCACCTAAGATCCCGTTTCCCACCTTCAACGGCGAATCTGACCCTCTGACTTGGCTCAACAAGTGCGACAACTACTTTCGAGGCCATCGCGTTCTAGAGGATGAGAAGGCGTGGATGGCTTCTCTACATCTGGACGGCACGGCTGCGGAGTGGTATTACCAGGTGGAGCGCGACTTCGGCATGGTTTCTTGGCCACACTTCGTCGAATTCGTTAACCTCCGCTTTGGGCCGCCCATCCGTTCCAACTCCGTCGGGGAGATTAAGGCCCTGTTTCGCACGGGCACAGTCGAGGAGTACTCGCAGCGCTACCTCGCCGTGCTCTCTCGCTGCGACCACCTTAGTACGCGGACCAAGATCGATCTGTACACTGGTGGTTTGGGTCAGCCACTGACTTCCGATGTGGAACTGCAGCATCCCGTCGACCTGCAGCACGCTATGAGCTTGGCACGGGCTTACGAGCAGCGCCAAGTGGAGGCTTGCACTGTCAACAGTTCGGCGGCACCCAAGTCTTCTACACGCCGCGCCACTGTTTCATCTAGTGCTGCAGGCTCTGGTGCCAGTCTGCAGGACGGCAAGACGGACGTGACGTGCTCTCGCTTTCGCCGCCTCACGCAAGCTGAGATGCAAGAGAAGCGGCAGAACGGGCAGTGCTATTTCTTCCCGGAGCCTTATTCCAAGGATCACAAGTGCGCCGCGAAGGGCGTCTTCCTCATGGAGCTTGTGGAAGGCAAGGAGGACCCGCTCGGCGAAGACGTCACCAACCTGGAGATATCCTTACATGCCCTCACCGACCTTGGGCCTGCTAATTCCATGATGTTGCAGGTGGTGATCGGGGGTGTTCAGCTCAAAGCTTTGGTTGTCACGGGCTCCACTCACAGTTTCACCCACTCTGAGGTGGCTGCTCGTTTGGGATTGGTGGTCACCGAGTGTGCTGGGCTCTCAGTGATGGTGGCCAATGGCGATCGGTTGCATAACCCCGGCGTATGTCTCGCTACGGACGTCCTCATCCACGACTTACGCTTCTCCATCGACTGCTTTGCTCTTGATTTGGGCGGGTTTGATCTCGTCCTCGGCGTCCAGTGGCTACGAACCTTGGGGCCCATCGTCTAGGACTTTGACGCCCTTTCGATGGCCATTTGGTTCAATGGTCGCTCCCATCACTGGAGCGGCTTGGGCAGCCGTGGCATGGCTGCAAACGCCGTTGCCAATCCCCACGCAGTCTTGGAAGAGTTGCTGCTGTCCTACAAGGACATCTTCGACGAGCCCCATGGTCTGCCACCGGTTCGCCGCCATGACCACCGCATACACTTGTTGCCGGGAGCCCCTCCAGTGGCGGTGTGGCCGTACCGGTATCCACAGCTGCTCAAGGATGAAATTGAGCGCCAGTGTGATGATATGCTGGCCCAGGGGATCAATCCGGGAGTCGACATCGCCCTTTTCCTCCCCGGTGCTCCTGGTCTGCAAGCAGGACGACACTTGGCGTTTTTGTGTCGACTACCGGGCGCTCAACGATTGCACCATCAAGGACAAGTTCCCTATTCCAGTTGTTGATGAGCTTCTCGACGAACTTAAAGGTGCCCGCTTCTTCACCAAGATTGATCTCCACAGCGGGTATCATCAGGTGCGCATGCACCCCGAGGACGTCGCCAAGACCGCGTTTTGGACGCATCGCGGCCACTTCGAGTTCTTGGTCATGCTGTTCGGCTTGACCAACGCTCCAGCGACGTTTCAGGCCCTTGATGAATGATGTGTTGAAGCCCTTCCTCCGTCGTTTCATACTTGTTTTCTTTGATGATATACTAATCTTCAGTCCCACTCCCACGTGGGCTGAACATTTACAACATGTACGAACTGTGCTGCAGCAACTCCGTGATCACCACCTCTTCGCCAAGCGCTCCAAATGCTTCTTCGGTGAGCCGACGGTCGCGTACCTTGGCCATATCATATCGGCTGATGGAGTCTCCATGGACAGCGACAAAGTGGCTGCGGTGGAGGCCTGGCCGCGTCCCCGTTCGGCTCGGGCCTTGCGCGGTTTTCTGGGGCTCACCGGCTACTACCGCAAGTTCATCGCCGGTTATGGCAGTGTTCTGGGGCTCACCGGCTACTACCGCAAGTTCATCGCCGGTTATGGCGGTGTGGCTGCACCATTGACAGCCCTCCTCAAGCGGGAGGCCTTCTCCTGGACCGATGAGGCGGAGGCGGCCTTCCTCCAGCTCAAGGCGGCGCTCGTGTCTGCTCCACTGCTGCAGCTACCTGACTTCAGCAAGCGTTTCTTTGTCGATTGTGATGCTTCAGGGGCTGGGTTTTGGCGCAGTACTTCATCAAGGAGATGGCGCAGTGGCCTTTTTCAGTCGGGCAGTGGCAGCCCATCATGCCAAGCTACCGGCGTACGAAAGGGAGCTCATTGGCTTGGTCAAAGCTGTGCGTCATTGGCGGCCATATTTATGGGGTGCTTTCACGGTTCGCATGGACCATTGGAGTCTCAAGTACATCCTCGACCAGCGCCTTACAACCATTCCGCAGCACACATGGGTCACCAAACTCTTTGGTTATGATCTCACGGTCGAGTATCGTGCGGGGAAGCTGAATACAGTGGCGGATGCCTTGTCCCACCGTGATTCGGAGGCGCCTGCTGTCCGGGTGGTTTCAGGCCCAACATTCGCCCTCTACGATGACCTTTGGGTGGAGCACCAGCGTGATCCGCAGGCACAGGAGCTGCGGGCACAGTTGGCTGCTGGTACAGCGCCTGATGGCTGGGTGCTGGTGGATGACATGCTGCTGCACCGCGGGCGTCTTTTCATTCCGGACGCCTCGGCCCTTTGGCCGCGTCTACTGTTGGAGGCGCATGGCAGCCATGAAGGAGCGCAGAAGACTCTTCACCGTTTTCGGGCATCCTTTTATAATGCTCGTGCACACCGACTGGTCCGTGACTTCGTTCGTGGCTGTGCTATTTGTCAACGGAATAAGACGGAGCATCTACATCCGGCTGGGTTGCAGCCTTTGACCATTCCAGAACATGTGTGGAGTGACATCGCCATGGATTTTGTTGAGGGCTTCCCACAGGTTGGCGGGAAATCGGTGGTCCTTACTGTGGTGGATCGGTTTTCCAAGATGGCTCATTTCATTGCTTTAAGTCATCCATATTCAGCAAGTTCAGTGGCCCGTGCCTTTTTCGATAATATTGTGCGCCTTCATGGATTTCCCTGCTCCATTGTTAGTGACCGTCAGCGGTTTTTGGGAAGAACTCTTTAAGTTGGCCAATGTCCGGTTACTGCACAGCTCGGCATTTCATCCCCAAACTGATGGACAGTCTGAGGTGACTAACCGCATCATCGTGATGTACTTGCGGTGTTTAGCTGGTGATCAACCGCGTTCTTGGCTTCAGTGGTTACCATGGGCAGAGTTCTGTTACAATACCTCCTTCCAGTCTGCTCTTCGTACCACTCCCTTTGAGGTCGTCTATGGCAGGCCACCGCCGCCTCTTGTGTCTTATATTCCTGGTTCGGCCAAGGTGGCCGCAGTGGATCAGCAGCTTCGTGATCGTGATGTTTTCTTGGCTGAGATCCGTGACAGGCTGCAGTTGGCTCAGGATGTGATGAAAGATCATCAAAACAAGACGCGTCGGTCAGTGGAATTTGCTGTGGGTGATTGGGTTTTGTTACGCCTTCATCACCGCACGGCTGTGGGCATTACTACTGCTTCGCCGTCCAAGCTTGGGCCTCACTTCTTCAGGCCATATCAGGTGCTTGAGCGCATTGGAGCAGTGGCATATCGTCTGCGCCTTCCTCCCAAGGCACGCATTCATGACGTCTTCCATGTTGCTCTCTTGAAGAAGTTCGTGGGGGAGCCACCAACTGCGTTGGTTCCATTGCCTTCAATTCTTTATGGTCGGGTGGTTCCTACTCCAGCAGCTGTGATCCGTACTCGCCTCAACCGCGGACGCTGGCAGCTTCTGGTTCATTGGGATGGCCGCACTCCTGCTGATGCTACTTGGGAAGCTGTAGAAGATTTCAAAGACCGCTATCCAGAGTTCCAGCTCGCGGACGAGCTGTTTGTCCGGGGGGAGGGAAATGTTGTGGACTCGTTTGTGGGCCGCCAGTATAGGCGTCGCCCCAAACAAGGCCTCAGCCCAGGCTGTGGCTAATAGGCTGCTGGCTGTTTAGATAAGGCAGGGAGGAGTTTTAGTAGATTGGTTTAATTATGGAAGTGCACCTGGACTATAAAGGGGCACCTTAGGAGATTGTAATAGGCATTGAAGAAGGAATAAACTCTCCCTGTATCGGGGTGGGAGTTTCCCTTCGACGGTGGCGTCGAGCGCTTCAGCGGCGACCACCGGAGAAGATCCCACCGCCGAGGTTCCCCGCTATCCTCTGCGTTCCAATTTTCAATCCAGACTCCTCCACTCTCCCCTCCGTTCACCACACCGCTGGCGCCGTATCACCTTGTTGGGCTTCTGTGCAATAGAAAAGGAAGTTCTCATGAAAAATACCTTCCAGTTTAATTTTGATATTATTTTCTGCCGTAACCCATTGCTTGTAACTCAATATGCAGGGTTTATGTCATATCAGTGAGTTAAGTTCGGGCTGGTTGGCCAAGGCTGAGGATGTGAGAAAATGTCATGAATTTGTTTCATTTGCTTAGATTTCTACCCCTTGTTTAAGTAATCCAATCCACTGCATTTGTTGCAGGCTTTTAAAGTCGGAGATCGCATAGACGTCAAGCTTATCGAGGTTGGTAGCTATTTTTAAGTTCAACATGTGTCTGTCCTCAAGGCGTTTATAGTGCAAAACTGCTATTTCTATAATTCACACCTCCAGAAATGCCATGTAAGTTATCCAACCACATGATATGATGCCTTTCTCTGAATTCTGTTTCCTTGATCGTCTGAACCAGATAAATGATAAGGGTCAACTTCGGCTAAGTTCTCGAGCTTTGCTTCCTGACGCGGATTCAGAATCCAACAGCAGTCCAACAAAAGAAAAGGCGCCACAAAAAGATGATGCCATCAAGATGACATCAAGGAGACCCAGGCGCAAGAGACAGTCTGAGTCGTCTGGAGCTGAAAATGCCACAACAAAGACTCTTCAGAAAAGCGCCGCTGCTCCAGCTGGTTCAAAGGGCAGTGAAGCCGCGTAGTAGGAAGGCGACAACAACTTGGTGATCAGACGATTGACTGGCCAAGTTAGGGATACACACATGACACATCAACTGACTATATGATGGTCATAGGGCATGACAAAGAGTTCAGACATGAGGCACAACTGTCTAGACAGGATTATAATGAAGAATTGATTGATCGACCTCGATGCTAGACAGGTAGCGTGCCTGCCTGATGCGTTACAGAAGGTGTGCGCCCATCCAGCAATAACGGTGCCCAGGACTGGATCGTCGCCCTGATTAGTGGAACGGTTCCCAGGACTGGATCGTCGCCCTGATTAGTGGCAACGGATCGGCGTAACAACCATGGAAACTTGAGTGCAATCTTAAGGATAGTTTACGTTTGCCTTTGTGTTGTATCCTTTTGTACACTTCATATTCTTGCCGATCCGGCCAATACAAACTACTGCGTGACGTGATTACTCAATTATTTTACGCTTTGATTGTATCACTAGACAGTATGCTCCAATGAAACATGGCATCAAGCACCTTTTTTTTTTTTTTTGCTTCCACGCTGTTGATGTTCAGCCTGGGAATAACCACAACATTGAACCGAGATAATTTGACAAACAGGGGAGGCATTCTATAGCAGCACAATATATTCTAGTAACTCTGGATTACTGCTCTCACATTTACAAGCCAAATCCAACTCCTATCTCACATCAAATCCAACCCAAATCCAACTCCTATCTCACATCAAATCCAACTCCTATCTCACACATCTCAAGTTACATCAGTTAACTGTCCCGAACGACAATACAAAAACTACAAAAAGAGAAACGAAACAGAAACTAAATCCAGGGCAACTTTCCATCGCCACACACTAGTTTCCATACTAGCTGCCAAGAAGGCTGTTTCTCAACGCTTACACTGAAGTCTGAGCAGTGAGATGTCTTTGTACTCTGTCAATTGTCCCACAAGAACTCGTTTCCCACCAATTCATTAGTGAGAAGTTGCTCGAACTCATCAAATTCGTGGAAGGGCTCGGCCTTAGAAGTCGCGGCATTGCCTCCAGCAGCGGCGGCAGCGGCTGGATTGCTACTTACCGACTTGAAACTGCTACTTCTGCTGGGGACAATGCTGGCTGTGCTGTTGTTGATCACATTACTAGGCCCGGTACCGACCGTAGCTGCACCCTTTGAAGCGCTATTATTGATGCGCTGCGCCTGCTCCCCGGTAGCAGCACTATTGGTGTTAGCACCTCCTGATGTGATACCACTGTTTGCATTAGGGGTGTCTGGAGGTGGTTGCTGTGGCAATGTGCGGCTGTTAGTGTTCTTAACTTCTTGAAGCAGCTGGTTTAAAACATGCTGCTGATACTGTGGGCTCACACCCAAGCCCTGGTGATTATTTTGCACTCCCAAGCCCTGGAGATTGTTGTGCTGAGGCATTGGGTGCTGGAATGATCCAGAATGTTGAAATTGTGCTAGCTGCACTTGGTTAGGTCCACGGAAGGATCTAGCTGCTTCCAGCTGCATGCCATTGTGCATTGCAGCAGGACCTTTGAAGACACTGGATGCCTCCTGCTGAAGCATACTCTGATTCGCACTGGAGCTTCTGAGTAAATTCTGGTAACTGTTTAGTATTGCAGCATTCTGTGGAGTACTATTACCAATGGCTCCAGCAACAGAAGTTCCGTTGTCCACATGAGCGCTTATTTCTTGTTTGACGCCCATAACTTTGGTGTTGTTCTGGTCATTGGGAACACCAGCAGCATCCCTTATTTGTTTTGCCTCATGCAAATTCTGTCCTGGAAGCTTCAGTACATTTGGTTTTGGATAATTCTTCAGGCCCTCTGCATAAGAATACAGTGCACGTTAAAAAGACACCAAAGGTTGATGAGGTAAGCAGGAAGTGTGGCCTATATCAGACTGCTTTTGCCACTGTCCATGTCATATAGTTCAATCTTTTGCTGTTCTCAGAAGGAAAAACAAATGAAGCAACACAGACCATATCTGATTTCTTTATATGCCACCGAGAAAACTAATACTCCTTTATATGCCACCGATGTGTCTGATAAGTGGGACCCCATAGTCACTTGACAGTGGCATATGACAGGATTTAAGTTTTTACCCAGAGGCTTGTGAAGACTTTTTTTTTTCAAATTCTTTTGGTAAATCCACAGCACAAAGCCAAAGGATGGCTAGTCCAGTTGGTTAACTGAGATATGCTAGTCACTCCGGTGGCACCCTCCAGGTCCTGAGTTTGACTCCCAGTGGGAGCGAATTTCAGGCTGGGGGTTAAAAAAATCCCCTCGCCGGTCCCGGGTGCCAAAGCACTGGTTTAAAGGAGACGGCCCATCTCACGGGTTACGTCTCCCAGTGTCGGGCCGGGGCCGGGGTTCGGGGGTTTTCTCGGCCTGTGTGAGAAGGCCTTCTTCTTACGTATAATGCCCGGGGGGCGGCTTGTCCCTCGCAGGTCGAGTTTTTTTTTTTTAATCCACAGCACAAACTTTGTGTACAGACATACATTAATAATGTATGTTCATATTTTTCGAATCTATACCAAACACTATATTCAGCTTCATTAGGTCAAAAAACAACTTTCTTTGACATGTAATCACATAGGTGTCAGCTGGGTTCGTTCCTTTATGGAAAACTCCCGTTTCTAGTGCTACAAGTTTCGTTTGTACAACAAAACTTGAACTAGCAATCAACTTTCCTAAAGGAGGCATATCGTTTTAATATATGTCCTACCATCTTCTTGGAAACAGTGGGAAAACATTAGTCAGAACCTACTTTAGGAAAATTTGTTGACACAGACAACTAACAATTGACAGCTAGGTGAAAACTGAAGACAGTGATAGGTAAATGTGCATGATCATACCTATAGGACCAAGATTGCTTTTGTTGGTGAACTCAATCAAGTCCTTCATGTGATTCACCACCTCTGATATCTGACAAGGACAGATAACTATCAGTGTGCTTGATGTATATGGACATATGGAAACCATAGGATGCACATGCAGATATGATGATATAATGTAACTAAAATCTAAGCAGGATTTGTGGGGCAACATAGAAAAGTATACAATGCAACGGGAAAAGCCTGTAATTACCTGCAGGCAGCGAACATATCGTTTAGAAAGACCATGTTCATTCAAGGTGTGGTGCTCCAGATTCTTCACTAGTTGCCGTGATGCAGACACAAACCTAACAGCACAAAACAAAATGATGCCTTTGCATTAGCACAATAAAAAATAAGATTGCTCTGAGATACAGGATTTTCTATTTATCATGGCAAAAGATCTCTGCATAATGGATATTACAGAACTGAAGGTGTAGTTCACTAACATGTTGCAAATGGTTTGTGCATCATTGTTTGAAACCCCAGCAGGACCACTTTCACTGGCAGCCGCTTGGTATTTCTGGGCAACCTGTAGCAAATTATTGACCTGAAAGGCAGAATCATGTGTACAGTATAAGATATCATTATCAGTCATCAATGATGGTTACACTTGTAAAACATGAACACACACTTAGGGAATGCCTTAAAGAGTACAGATTTACATTAAGATGTCATGAAAATGGGTTTGATCCTCACTGGGGTAACGTGAAGCAGTTCTGACCTCCAGTACATCAATGAAGAATGAAGAAAAATCTAAATAATTGTGGAAGAAGTCTGGTCGTGACAAGAAAGAGGCATTTTCACCCATTTATAGAAGTTGTCCTAAGTAATTAGACTTATGCCGCATCATGTATAATTTATTACCTAAGACCTAGGTTGCCAAGAAATAATTGTATTACTATGTAGCTAGGCAAGGGGAAGTTACAATTAAAAATTCTGTAGCCAAATTAAAGTGGAACACTGCGCTAGTATAAGAAATCCACCTGTGGTGCCAGAACCCGGCAAGTGATATACTCTTCATGACGTCGTGAACAGAACTCCCATGACATGATCTGAGTCAATGGTAGATAAGAATTGTTATTGCCCCTTGCTTGGGACCATTTCTATGCTTACAAATGCTACACGTAACATGGACAGGCTACAAAAATTGCACTCGCATGTGCGAACTACTACACCAAGCAACTTACCTTTAATTCTGGTGTGAATATGATTCTCAAATGCCCCTCATGTGTAACATGTTGGTGCTCATAAACACTCTTTTGAACAACTTTTGTATGCTCCAGCAGCATTAGTCCATTAGGCAACCGGAATTCGTTGGGCATGTCAAGGAATAGGTATTCATCTATGACACCATGATCAAATCTAATTTGACAGAGCCTAGGAAGCACTTCATAGGTAGCCTCTGTCAGAGAGATCAGACATAAAAAATGATACCTGAGTAAGAGATACTTGTATTACAAGTAACAAATCTGAAAGCTACTTGGACAAGAAACGCTAAGATGTGCATCTATATTATGGCAATAGCACTTGCATGGTGCACACTGCATAGATACCACAGTTTAGCTAATCTTTGGTTTACCACATATTCAATGTGAAAAGGTAGACGTTGATGGGATGCCATCGGGCAGACCCAGTGCCGGAGGCTCCCACATGAGTGGGGTCTGGGGAAGGGAAAAGCCGAGGCAAGCCTTCCCCCCGCAAAATCTGCTGAGAGGCTGCTTCGAACCCACGACCTAGTGACTCAGTGGGACAGCTCTCACCGCTGCACCAGGGCCTGCCCTTCCATGCTGTTTAATTGTTCTTCATTTGCCGGGTCATCAGTCACTCATTTCAAATGCATGTGCAGTTGTGCACAGTATGATTATTGCCACTCAGCATATATTCATGAGAGAATGCATATCCATTCTTCATGCCTATGCATGACGCATTATTACAATTTTTATTATCACATAATTCATCTTTGTTCCAGCCTCAAAATGTATCAAGTTTGTAAACTGTACTAAATTCATGTTTGTTCTGGCCTTTTGTAATTCATCTTGGTTTACCACAGATTCAATGTGAAACTTCATATAATTCATTTTTGTTAACCACAAGATATTTATAGGAAAGTAGAGTTTGTTGCTAACAACTAA